TATGAAGTTGGATTTAGTTTATGTTTGATTTTTAATACCTAGCATGATAAAGTTTTAATATTTGTTGCTTATATTCAGGTTAAGTGTAATTGAATGATCAATTTATATTGCATGAACTTGATTACCTAGTAGCTTATGAACATTAAACTATTAGAGTTAGGATTCACCAAATATTAGATAAGGTAATAAATACATCAACTTTATATGTGTCGGGAAACATAATTTGATCATAATTATGTTTAGATAAATCTTACATAGCTCACTAATTTTAATAGTCAGTTATGTGTTTGCTTGTGTATAATCATTACATGGTAGTTCATGAATTGATGAGAATATTAGGAGATCTAATCAAGACTGCTAATAATATCTACTTTTGTAACCAACTTTATTAATCCATAAGTAATAACTAACCATAGGAAAAATGTGGATTCAAAACTAAACGAAAGTGTTTTTAATATCTTGATAACAACCGTTCTTAGTTAAAGTATTTGTTTACTTTTAAATTAATCTGAACTTGCAAAATCAGATAAACCCCTTCTTTAATTATTGCTTATAGATTAATTTTTAGTAATTATTTTATTAAACTGAATCCGTTCCTTGTGTTCGATACCCAACTTACTTTACTATACTATAAACTGACTAGGTACACTGCCTATAGGTGCATTAATAGATAAGAAGTTAGATTTATAAATTTAAAGCTAGATATGTATAATTTGTCCGCATCATCAAACGATAGAACCATTATTAGTTTTTACAACTCAATACAATATGATCTTCTAAGAAACGATCATATAATTCCGAGTTTATAATACTCGTATTTCCATTTATAGTCATTTAAGCTTTATGTTGAATGTCTTAATATTCATCAAAACCTTTATCTTATCTTGATGAATAACATCCAATAATATTGGATTTAATATAAATAGCTTTTGGAATATACAAGTATAATTTGATTCTAAATTTCCAAACATGAAATCGGTACATATTTCTATTGAAACCACATGTCATTGTTTTCAAACATATGCTCATGTTCTTTGGATATATCTACTTTCATTTCCCTATTGAAAATCCATTTATAGCCTAGTGGTTTACATACTAGATATATATTCACTAGTTCTCATGTGAGATTTTGCAAGATATAATCTATTTCATTTTTAATTGACTCTTTTCATTGAGGTATTTCAAAGGAAGTGAATTCCTTTTTTTGAAACTTTGAGACTTTCTTTAAACCATATACGTGTAGAAATCATCTCCAAATGATTTTTCATCTTGTACCCTTTGACTGCATCATGAACTATGATCTTCAAGAGAAAAATACCAAGTTGTTTTTGGATCACTTGTTTTTGCTCTATCAAGATATGGAAACATATTTTCAAAGTATTATGCTGTAACGTCCCGAAAATGATGACATAAAATTTTCGGTTATCGAATAAATAAATCGTTAATACGTATCATTTCCATGAAATCATGGCAATCAAGATTTAGCAAAAAATTATCAAATTAGAGTAAATCACAGAATGCGGAAAACATGTATGTGTGCCCTGCAACCAACCCGAGCTCTTCCATTTGAAAACCGAAGTACTTGAAACATAAATTGAAAACAATAAGCACAAAGTTTAGTGAGTTACCTAAGATACCACATACCATACATATCATATAATGGGCCTTGCCCAAACGAGATACGAGCCCCGTCCACACTTACATAACGGGCCCCGCCCAATGAGATATAGGCCCCGTTCACGCTCGAATAACAATGAGATACGTGCCTCGCCCACACTCGAATAACAATGAGATACGAGCCCCGCCCACACTTGAATAATTATGAGATACGGGGACCGCCCAAACTCGAATAACGACGAGATACGGGCCCCGCCCACGTCATGACATACAATTTTTGATTTTTTTATTCAACTCATCTCATGCACTTTCAATGTTAGACAACCAGATAGCTCTGATACCACTGATGGGTTTATATGATATAAATACATGTACAATGCGGAAAAACACTTAACAATTAAGAGGGCACATGCAACCTACAAAAGGTCTATGTCGTAACACTTTGAAGGCAACATACTATGGACAACAAAACTAACATGAACCCTAATATATTTAAAATCATGGAAATAGGGTTACATACCTTTGATTTTTTTGTAGCAAGCAAATCGCTTTAATCCCCTGTAGTTGATGGTCTTGGAAAGCTTAACACCAAAATGATGATGCATCCAATGGATCACACTCAAAACCTATCATTAGAAGACAAGAGAGGAAAGAGGAGGAAGTAATTTTCTGCCAAAGAATCGTTTTGGGAACATGGTGAACGAAAATTACAAGCCTTAGGGTCCTATTTATAGCGTGGATGACATAAGGGAAACCTTGGATTTGAATAATAAAATATTCAAATTTAATCTATTCAATTATGGTATACTTATCGGTTTTAAGATTATTTTAGAAACCCTATAATCCTTCATAAACTCGTCCACCACTATCAAGGTTCTAGCGTTTTCCTTCCTTACTCAATTAAGAACGATTACAATTCAATCCTTGGACCTTTAGTTAATTCCAATTAATCCCAAATTAATTATAGATTATTTATGATTAATAATTAATTAGCTCTTATTATTATTTTTTATTAATTTATTAATCATATAAATTAACAAAACAACTATATATAACTATTGATCTCACATTAATCTATTAATCACATAATAAATTAACAAATAAAAAATTTATTTCCAATTAATATTTTAATCATATAATTTATTAACAAATAATATATTACAATTTATTAATCATATAATAAATTTATCCGCTCTCTCTATATATTTGTTATTCTAACCAAGTTTTAGTTATGAGGGCAACCAAAAAATGACTTTGCTTTTAATTACAAGTATATACCAATTTAGTTATGAACTTAGACACCTTAATCCAACACCAAGTGGGGGAGATCCGGTCATTCGGGGTGAGGGTGCGTGAGGTGGTCCGACCATATGTTCAGCTGCAAGGGCTAGGAGATACTTGCAACATGGGTGTTTATGGTTTTTGGCTTGTATTGTGGATACTCGGGTTGAAAGGAAGAAATCTATCGAAAACGTACCTATTGTTTGGCATTTCTCATATGTGTTTCCCGAGGATTTGTTGGGGGTGCCTCCCGAGAGGCAGATGAAGTTTAGGATTGATCTAGTCCCATGTGCGGCTTCGATAGCCAAGACACCTTACCGTCTTGCACCTCCTAAAATACAAGAGTTATACACACAGTTTCAGGAGCTGCTGGACAAGAAGTTTATTAGACCAAACAGTTCACATTGGGGAGCACCTATTTTGTTTGCGAAAAAAGAAGGACATATCCCATCGGATGTACATCGACTACATGAAGCTGAATAAGTTGACGGTGAATAACCGTTATCCACTTCCAAGGATCGACGATTTATTCGATCGACTGTATGGTGCATCTTGGTTCTCCAAGATTGATTTGAGGTCGAGATATCATCAGATGATGGTCAGAGATGAGGATATTCAAAAGACGGCCTATGAGAAGAGTTAGTAGCTTCGATTGTTGTTATATAAATGATAAAATTGATGTTTTGAATGGAAAGTGATAAAACAACATCAAATATCATAAGGAAACTTGAGACATTTACCTATGCCTATGGGTAAATTGTACGATCTTACCTTAGATCCCGTCATCAAAGTGTCCCAAGATTGTGTAAAATCACGATATGTTATGGGTCATAATTGACCAAACGATAAAAATATACCTTCCTAGGTATCACATGCAGAGTAAATTGGTATGTAGAAAATGTTTTCATATATTCGTTATCAAGAATAAGTAAAGATTTTGGTATAAGACCCTTTTTTGACTTTCTTAAAAATACTTATGATGGTGATAATGTGAAAACTGTTGTAGTCCGACAAATTCGAAACCTGAAAGGAGCACAGAACAGTTAAGTTCGTGACCTTTGTCATTTATGGATAAGAAGAAATGGTCACGTGAGGAATCTGAAATAAAAAGGTCGCTTGAATGAAACTTTAATCAATAAAGTTAACGTTTGAAATTAGGTCTGTAGGCGGTTAAGCTTTCATAAATGAACATAAAATTATTTCGTATATAGACTTTTACAGGTGGTGGCAGTGACATACACAAACTTTTACATAAATTTTGTTGTTATAACGAGAATATTGTGATCTAAGGATCTATATATAACATATTTGGATGTTGTATAATATATAATTTGAATGTTGTATAATGTTTATTTTGTATGCAAAAAATAGTTTAGAGGATTAAAACGATCATTTTCCTTGTTAAGGGTCAGACATTCACATGCCTAAGCAAACATTGGTTTATCGTTCAAATACAAATTCATAAAGAGCTTTTGTATCATTCTAACATGTGCATCATTCAATATGAATCTTCCAAATGATACCCTACAACCCTTACTACTACATCATAACAAAGACTTATAACAAGAATTTGTGATTTTGTTTTCATTTAAAATAGCAAAAGTAAAAATAACATGTATAAAGTTTAAAAAGTTTAAAATATAACCGTTGATTGAACAATCTATAACAGAAAAACTAGTTGAAAACTTGTGAATCAAAAACTAAATAGAAAAACGGTTTAAGAAAGTGCCAAACTATAAACAGAAAACAAAACTAAATTTTTAAAAAGTTCAAAACCTCGATATCTTTGGACTAATAAAACAATGAGGGGATACAATTGCAAATATGTTATACTTAAATGCTGTTATCTCATTGGTCGAAAACACACAGAGTGGATCACCATCCGCGGCTTTTTACCGATTATCAACCGTCGATTAGCGCCTAATCCAACGGTTGATTCGCATCCTCAAAACTGAGCACCCGAGTCTGAAATTTTCAAAACATCCCGCTCATCTGAAACCTTCTACTATAAATAACCTTTCAAACGACAGTGTCAAATCCATCCAAACAATCATCCAATCTTAGCATTTCATACTTCTTTCTCAAACCCAAATTTGAATCAAATGGCACGTACCAAGCAAACCGCCAGGAAGTCCACCGGAGGAAAGGCTCCAAGGAAGCAGTTGGCCACCAAGGCTGCAAGGAAGTCTGCTCCGGCAACCGGAGGAGTGAAGAAGCCACACAGATTCAGGCCAGGAACCGTTGCTTTGAGGGAAATCAGGAAGTATCAGAAAAGCACTGAGCTTTTGATCAGGAAGCTTCCGTTCCAGAGACTTGTGAGGGAAATCGCCCAGGACTTCAAAACCGATCTCCGATTCCAGAGCTCCGCCGTCGCTGCTCTTCAGGAGGCATCTGAAGCTTACTTGGTTGGACTCTTTGAAGACACCAATCTTTGCGCGATTCACGCCAAGAGAGTCACAATCATGCCTAAGGACATGCAACTCGCTCGCAGAATCCGTGGCGAGAGGGCTTAAATGGAGCAATTGTGTTGTTCTTCCTTTGGTGTTTCACGTCTTGTGAAATCGTGTTAGATCTTTGATGTTTTTTAGGTTTATGTGTTTCTTGTATTCCGGTTTCAATGTGTAGTAGCTGATCTTGCGAATATCTTTGTTTATCAATCAGATCTCAATGAAAACCAATGTTTCCGCATTTCTCCAGTTCTTCTGAGCGTAATGGTATTTTTGTTTACAGTTCAACCATTAATTTCGCGTCGGATCTTCAATTCAAGAAATGTGCAAATCCATTTGAAATTGATTTGAATGAACAAATGTTTTGTTTGAAAGAGAGAGATAATGAACAAATGTTGTTTTGGGGTTGAATGAAAAACTTGAGTAAGAGTCAATGACAGCTGAGTTAAAAGTTCTTTATAAAAATAATAGTATAGCTTCATAAATATCTGATATAATTAATAAACTAGATTCATAAATATTATGACAGTTAGTAAAAATGATAAAGAAACGTCCATTTATAGCTACTTTTAATTATGTTATTTATGTATTAAGACCATCGAGACAAAAAAGAAACAACATTTTCTTATTCTTGCCAACTATTTGATGTTATTGGTTATGTAAGCAATATGTGATTGATCCTTACCTGGTTAATAACTTAATATCATGTATAGCTCCCTAAAACTGATGAAAAGTGTATTAATTGAAATATGATCAAGTGTAACAAAAAAAAATTTCTCAAATTATTTATGCGTTTGACACTTTACCTATTAATTCATTTTGTCACAAACCTTCAGGAGTTTGAAGGCTTTTACTAAACAATCCCTTGCTGTAAAGCTTCTCACAAAGCATTTTATGATCGAAGAACAGGTAATAACTGCTTTTTTTACACAAGATTATTTTGTTTGTTGTGATATTCTCTTATATGCGCCCTATTATAGAGTTATCAATGGTAAATTACAAATAACATATTAATGCAACGTTTATTTCTTTTTCTAGATCAAATTACATTTCTGGTCCCTTAGTTTTTCATAAAAAAACATTTTTTGCTCCCAAATACATTTATGTTGCAATTTTGGTACTTATTTTTAGTTTGTAATAATTTTGGTCCTTAAAGGCACCAAAATTGCAAGAGAAAACAATTTGGGAACAACAATGTATATTTATCCTTTATCTATTTATTGTTCTCCGGATGAAGTTTATTTTAATAAGTGATGTTTAAAAAATTATTTGAGGTAATGAACCACACAAGGGTAAATGTAAGGAAAAAAATAAAGGTTAGAAAATTTTCATCAAGTTAAGACTTAATGTGAAAAGTCTTCAAAATATGAAATGATTGAAATCAATGCGTCGTACTTTGAAAAATATTATTGTACTTCATATATTTTTTCTATTAGGACAAATGAATATTTATTTGAATAGGATTAGAGTTTTCCAAGTACAATGATTGAATTTGATAAAGTGAAAGTATAACGCAATAATAAGCAAATATATGAAAGCATGTTGCATTTTATCTCTATATTCCTTTAACAAAACAAGATCCATTTCTATTTTTTTGAATTTGATTAGAGATTTGTTTGTGTTGGCGACGATTTGTTTGGACAAAGAGAGTGATACAGTTGGACGAAGTGTTAAATGCAGTTTAAGAGGGAATTAAGCTTTGATCAGACCCACGACAATAGAGATACATGTTATGGTATTGACAAAAAATAATCAAATTTTATATGAATGATAAAACTATAGTGAAGTAGATTTGTCATAATATAATGTTATAACGAAAACAAATAAAAATAAAATGCTATAAAAAAATCAAATCGATCTATTATTTTTATATTAATCAACCCGTCCACCCAATATAATACTATTATCTCGATTCATTTTTTCTTAGTTTACGTTAAACACTTATAAAAAGTAGAAAAATCTTTTAAATGTAATTATGGTGTTGTAAATTTGCACAAATGGAACTCACTCACGCTATTGTATTTAGTATTTACAATGGTTAAATACAGTAAATTCGCAAAGTTACATTATTACACCCAGTTGTTTGGCACTGAAAAATTATGGAATCGGAACGACTCTTCTCCGGCGGTGTCTCTACCTACTCCGAACATCGATCCATCATTCTCTCTTCCTCGATTTGCATTTGCAGTTGCTAAATGTGCAGTCTGAGTTTCTTTGGGCAGCTGCGACACCACCGGAGCATAAGTTTGCGATCTGAGATTCGCGTTTCCTAACATCGCCACCTCTTGATCCCACGCAAACACATGAAGTGAAATCGGCACCTTCGTGTGTCTATGCAACGATAGCTTCTGGCTAATCGAAACAGTATCGTAACATCTAATCGCTCCTTCTGGTGAAACCATCCATGGAAGCACTTTCTGATTTGATATCCTCGAAACCACAAGAAGCTTTCTCGCCTTTTTAGCCTCTGCGTACAAACTACTCAAACCTGAACGAGTCGCCGGCGAGTCTTCTTCGACTCCAAGAACAGACGTAACTTGAATGAATCCCTATCGACACCAAACAGGTTAGCGGTTCACAGAAATATAATCATATGTTCGAAGTTATCAATTCAGTTAAGAAATTGAACCTCTTGTGTTCGACCTATGGCGAATCCGAGCTTTGTATCTCCATCTTTGATTTTAATTTCGACTGCAACTTCTCCACCAATTGGCGCAAACCAAAGACGAACACCTCTCACAACTCCGATATCAACCCCGTGATAATCTTCAAATCCGTATAAACTCACGTTTGCGAGATTTGCCAAATCCGACAACGATCCAGTGTTTACAGTAGACGAAGCTGTTTCTCCAGAAATCTGTCGGAATTATCAGAAATTCAAAATCAGGTAACTGTGATTTCATTCAAAATCTTAGGGTTTATTACGATTTTGGTGTACCTTGGTGAGGAGGGATTCTGTTTGGATGTTCATGAAGACGATTGGGACACCGGAAGCTTGAGAGGCGGTGTGCCAAGCGTTTGCTCGTGAAAGTGTGTCTTCGAGGTCGTTGTAACGATGGGAAACGGAATCGGAGGATTTAGGGAGGAATAGAATGGAAAGGAAGCAGCTGGAATTGGGAATTGGGAGGAGTTCTTGCATTTGTTTTTGCCATGGGTATGCCACGTATCCATCGTGGAGTTGGGCTGCTGCTAATGCACTCTCCATTCTTGAACCTCTTGAAGCTATATCAATTTTGTTTATAGAAATGTTGAGTAAAAGGAATGGAATTGGTAAATGAATTGTAATCTAAAAATAATTATAAGAAAGGGAATGGAATGGGACTCGATTCCATTGCTTTGATATTTTATGACTAGTTTTTTGAAAAAGAGTTTGAAAGGAAATTCATAATTGAATTCCATTGATTTGACAACTTTGCACGCCATTGAATGGGAATTTGGGATTCCGATTCCTTTGTATTATACCAAAATTCATGAATCAAACACTCTCTAAAAAAGTCACAAGTAGTTGGTTTTTTGATGTACATTTTGGAAAACAAAATATTCGGAATTGATTTCTGTTGATTTGACAATAGTACACGCCACTGAATGGAATTCAGGATTCCAATTCCCTCGTGTTAAATCGGAATCCACTAAACATACATGATTTAATGGAAATAATTATCTTAAATACAAAAATAAAAAAGTTAATGGAAATATAATTTGATAAAAGCTAAAAACAATGGGAGAGGTTGGTAGAATTGTTAGAGAATCTTTTATATATATAT